CGTCGGTGCCGACTTGGCCATAGTGATATCAGCATGGAGCCGTGCTTCGAGCTTTGTCATCTCCTCGTCGCTGATGCCGAAATTGTGGACGTTGTAGATGATGAGCGAAGGAGAGGGGGAGTCCGACTCGGGGCCTGATACACGTAGTCGCTGAACCCGAGCAGAGTCCATAATCTCATGAGAGTACCTTGGAGCTTCTGAAGCCGCGAACCGACCAGGGAGAATGATAACAGTTCCGCCAGTGTCCCGCCTGCTGCCAAAGTTCGTGAAGACCTGTGCAAAGATATGATGGCGGTGAAGTTCTTGCATGAATTCGATAGCATTACCATGGACCTCCTGAAGACACATCGCTGTGCCCTGCATGAGGTACGTTTGTAGATTACGAAATTTGCGGTCACGCGTGGTAGCATCGTGATGCACATGTGCTCTAGCATTCCATGACCCAATCGCCGCGCAGTCACGAAACTCACCAGGATCGCGCCAAGGCGCAAAGCGAGTGCTAAATCGCCCACTGGGTCCTCTCAGCTGAGCCGAAGATCTCGTCGAAGGACTGCTTGAGAGCATCGCGAGGAAGATTGCGATCATGAGCATCACGATAGTTCCACTGGAGGACAGTCGGGTCCTCAGCCGTCTCGCCCACGACCAGCTTGACGATGGGCTGCGAGCCGTCGCCGACGACTCCTGCGTGTCGGTTGGCGCGCCAGCGCCCTTCCACACCAGAGTTCAGTACCAGCTCGAGGAGGCGCTTCGTCTGGATCTCGCGTCGCATGGCTTGGGGGGGCTTGTCCAGGCCGACGAAGATGGGGGCCTGGGCAGCGCCCTCGATGGAGGCCGCAAAGAAGCGGCGCCAGGTGCCATCCTTCTTGAGCTTCTGGAAGGCCGAAACGACACGTCGCGCAGCCAAGCCCTCAGCGCCATGCATGCGGAGAGTGAAGCGGCGGCCAGGGGATGCACCGGCGAGAGACCAGTGCTGATCCTCGAGTTCGGTGTCCGCCAGCCATGGGCGCACGCTCGCAAGGATCGCCTTCGTGGTGACCGCCCCCTTGGCCGTGATGATGAAAACGGACTTGTCAGGCTCCCTGGTCCAGTCCGCCACGTCGCCGAGGTGCACGGCGGGGGCGGACGCCTCGCACGCCGAGACCACCTTTTCCAGCTTCGCCAGGGCTTCGCGCATCTCGTGCTGGTCACGCTGGATACGGGAGACGCCGCGGTCCAGATCCTGCAGATGTTGGTCGGTCTGCGCATTCTTGGCGGCCTGGCGCTCGCCAAAGATGCGAAGAGCAGCTGTGGTGGCAGCGGCGATGTTGGCAGACATCTTGTTGTTGGCGTCGGAGACGAAGTCGACGATGGAATCGCGCATGGCCCCCCAGGACCCCCTCCAGCTCCGAGTGCAAGACAGGCCCATCTGCCGCCGCAGCAGGAGCCCCAGCAGGCCGAGGAGAGTCATGAGCGCGATGGGGATGAACTCTGAGGCGGCCGCTGCTGCGCGGAGTCCGACGGGTCGCTGGAGGAGTGGCTGCGATCGGCGTGGCCGTGCCCTGGCCATCGTCTCCGCGGGCACGTGTGCGCACGTATGTTCCATGCTACTACTACCGCTACTGTTACAACTACGAAGATGAGGCGAAGGAGGAGGACGGCGTTTACCGCTCCTAGTAATGTTGCTTTCCTCGAGGCTCCAACTCCTAGGTAGGGCCGCGCTGGGATATTTTTTTCCGCAGGCGTCGTTCCCGAACCCGAGCCCGAACCCGAACCCTTGCCCTTTACCATGCATTCAAACCTGGTAACACAGACTGCGTTTATACCTAGTAGTCGTAGTCGTAGTCGTAGTCGTAGTCGTAGTCGTAGTCGTAGTCGTCGTCGTAGTAGTGGTAGTAGTAGTAGTAGTCGTCGTAGTCGTAGTCGTAGTCGTAGTCGTAGTCGTAGTCGTAGTCGTAGTCGTAGTCGTAAACGTAGTCGTCGTAGTAGTAGTAGTAGTAGTAATAGTAGTAGTAGTAGTCGTCGTCGTCGTCGTCGTCGTCGTCGTCGTCGTCGTCGTCGTCGTCGTCGTAATCGTAGTCGTAGTCGTAGTCGTAGTCGTCGTCGTCGTCGTCGTCGTCGTCGTCGTCGTCGTCGTCGTAGTAGTAGTAGTAGTAGTAGTAGTAGTAGTAGTAGTAGTAGTCGTAGTAGTAGTAGTAGTAGTAGTAGTAGTTGTAGTAGTAGTAGTGGTAGTAG